CCCCATTCTCCTCACCTGCAGCCTGCCCCACAGCCCCTCCCCGGGTCTCCCCACAGAGCCCCCCCCAGACACACAGCCCCCCCGACACAGATCCTTTACCCCTAGATGCCTCCCCCATGCCCCTCCCCCTCGTGATCCAGCCCCCCACTGCCCCCCCCATCCCCCGGCCCTCACCCAAGGGCGCCCCAGCCACAGGGCCGGGACCCGCACCCGTCCCCGCACGCCCCGGCCCGTCAGATCCCCGGCCCCGCACTCACCTGTCGGCGGCGGCGGCCGGACCGCGGCTGGCCGGTACCGGCCCATAGCGATCTCCTGCCCCTCCAGCTGCTGCCCCGGCGCTTGCTGGGCCTGTCTAGCCAGGCCGGAAGCGCAGGTCCCAGGGCTCCTTGGGAGTTGTAGTCCCTCCTCGCCAGCCCCCCGCCCCCTGCCATTCGGCTGTACAGAGAACCCCGTGTCGCATGGACTACAAATCCCAGCAGCCCTAGGCCGCCTTTCCCTGATTGGTGCTCATCCGCTCATTCTATGCTACAATCTATGTCACTATTGGCCACTCGTGCCCGTTCGTCACACCTACTGGCCAATCGCGCGGCTAAAGACGAGTCTCTCGTAGGACTGGTGCGTGGGGAGAGCAGCTACCAATTAGAGCCGGAGGAGGCGGGGCTTTACCGAAAAGAGGATTTGTGACTGGCTGTGCGTGAGGAGGGAGCCTGCCCAATGGCGGCCCGGCGGCGGCGGCTATAAAAGTCGCGGTAGGGGGCGGGCACAGTCTCTCCGCGCGGTGGTGTCTGAGGTGAGGTCGGTTTGTTGGGGCGCTGAGGCGCGTGAGGGCCCAGTCTGCCGCCGGGAGAGAGCGGTGGGGCCCCGCCCCTCCGAGCAGCCCCGGGCCCGAGGGACGCCCCCTGGTGAGAGGGGCCGGAACCCAGGAGTCCGGCCCCGGTGTGGGGCTGCGCGCGGCCAAGCCCCCCCGTGCTGCGGGCCGGGCGGGGGGCTCCCCGCGGGGGAGGGGTTGGACACGGCGACGCTAACCCGCTCACCAGCTCTAGTGTGGACGGGCCGGTGGCGGCTGTAACCCGTGTTAGCGGGGCGTGGCCACACAGCCCAGACCCCCTCCCCCGGCTGGCACGTGTTCAACGCCTCCTGCCTTGGGGGTGAGGCTAATTCCTGGTGTGAGCAAGGCAGGGTGGCGTTTCTCACGTCCTAGCGGGGTAGGGCCACACTTGGTGCTGAGGGCAGGGGTTGAATCCTCTGCTCATGTAGATGCAGCTTAGTGCACTGTCAAGGAATGTTAGTGCAAGTGTATCTGTGTAAACTGGGACTCACATCCCCCCCGTGCCAAGTCCTAAACTGCAGGGCCAGCTAATGTGTCAAGGCTGTCCTGCGTTCTCTGTTTCAAACTTGTTAGCCATCATGGTTTTAATGCACCTGGTTTTTTCTACTGTAAACTTAACCTTGGGGTCTGTTACTGAGGAACGCTTGCCCAAGTTAGAGGTCCCACAAGCTGCTGTTGTGGAGGTTGCCGCATTAACCATTGCAGGACGTGTCCTGCCAAGGGTAGCCTGTGATGAGCTTTCAATTTCTGACACCTCGTATGAGTATTGCCCAAGCAGTACTTGATTACGCTTCATGCCTGAGGCTGCACGTTGTACTTGTAACTATCATTACTTCTTTGAGATGTATTAAGTGGTGTGTTGTTGTTTTTTTTAGGTTACTCGATGTTCACAAGTTGAGGTGAGTCTACACCAGTGATTCTTGTTAAAATGAGGCCAAAATGAACTCTGCATGTTTCCATCGGGCCAGCAAACCCTAAACTTGAGCCAGTGATGAGCTACTTTATTTCTGACACCTCGTCTGAAAACTGTACCTGCAGTATTTGATGATGCTTTTTTGGCTGAGGCTCAGAGTAGTTTTAAATCTTGTTTAGGGAAGGGTGAAAATTCTCTGACAAGGACTGGACTAGAGAAGCTTGTAATCTGGGGGAGAAGTCAGTTTGCTACCTGTCTAATACTTTGTATTTACTGGTTGAAGTTTAATGCTGCTGTCTGTCTTTGTAGGAATGAAATGGACCAGAAGAGCTCACTTCCATTGTTGGCATCAAAACAACTGTAAAGCTCATTAATTCAAATGCAGAGGCTTTAATTTGGATTTACTTTAAAGCACATGTGACCTGTGTTACGCATTTTGAACGAAACATGAAAGGTATATTGTATGAGTGAAATGTAAGTTATTAAACCAAGTGGAACAAATTTGCTGTTCTTTTAATGTATGAGACTTGCCTATTGATTCACGTAACATGTCAAAGAAGTGTTCACTCCTGGGTGAAGGCTTGTGCAGATGGAACTTTCTGGAGTGCTAGTCTAAATTGCCATAAAACTCAGGACTGTTTCAAGGGCAGGGGGCATTTCTTTGGCTTTATCTTTACAAATAAAAAATAGAACATAATACAGGAACTTCAAGTTTTGCCTTTGTGATATGACCGCCACTGGTAGTTGTATTGCTTATTGGAAAAGAGCTGGGGGAGGGGGGGGTTACAAGAGCAGGAGAAGAATATGCTGTTAAAAACACTGGTGTGGAAGATAGAATAATCATTCTATCTGGAAAAGACTCTCCTTAATTCCATGCTGCTCTATAGCATGTAGCTTTGGCCCAAGGTTCAACAACCCTAACCCTCTGCCTTATTCTTGTGAGGTGGGGGAAGACTTATCCCCATTTAGTCTTATTGGAAAACTAGAACACACAAGTGAAGTACCTAGAGCACACATCTAGGCACTGGTTGAGTAAGAATCAAGCTGTCCTGAATCTCAGTACACTGTTCCCCTGAAGTAACAGCTAAAGCTAGCAATTCTTCTGTTTTCAAAGATGGCCTTGAGCTTTGGTAGCTATAGTCCAAACAAGAAACCCCCTATTAACAAAAGCTAGATTAAACATCTGGCCAAAATGTGTTATCTGATTCTACCATAGTTGATGCAACCAGGAATTCTTTGGTTTACTACTCTGGTCTTCAGTAATGAACAGAAAGCAGTCTTAATATTTGGAAAAAACTAGGCTGCAAAGAGACAGCTGGAGAAAATTGAAAACAGTTCAGTAAGAGCAGGGAGATTATACTGGATAATGGCAAATTTGTGGTGATACCAAACAACCTGTCTTGTGAGTCAAGGAGAATCTAAGAATGGCCTCTGAGCTATATTCACTTAATTTTCAATACTGAGTATCTGGGGGTAGCTGTTAGTCTGTATCTACAAAAACAAGGAGGAGTCTGGTGGCACCTTAAAGACTAACCGATATATTTGGGCATAAGCTTTCATGGGTAAAAACCTCACTTCTTCGGATACAACCGAAGAAGTGAGGTTTTTACCCACAAAAGCTTATGCCCAAATAAATCTGTTAGTCTTTAAGGTGCCACCAGACTCCTTTTTGTTAATACTGAGTATGGCACTCAAATTTTCATTCTGCATTTGACAGTATCTAATGCTAAGTCAGTGTGTATTTGATGGTATCCTGAACATGGTAGCTATGGGATGGGTCAGGACATCCAATATAATAGCTCTGCTAGCAGTTTGGGAGTAGTGGTGTAAGGTGCAATGCTTGTCATACCTTCCAAGGAAGGCTGTGAAAATGTAGGCTCTAGAGGGAGAGAAAGCAGATTGTTACAGAATAGTCTGTATTCACATCACTGGGGTTAAGCTGAATTGTTTATCAGTCATTACTAGCAGGATTTAATAGTAAATTCACCACAGTGAATAACTTGAGGTGCATGTCCAAAGAGAAGAGTGGAAGGCTTAAACCTTAGATTTAACTTGCCTTGGAATTGTGCAGAAAACTCCAAATTTTTTTAGATACCTACCATAAAGCTGAAGTTTTAGTGGCCTAGCCAACAGCAGTAGACAATGTAGATGTTCTGAGCAGAAAAATACAGGAGTGAACATTGGACTCTGTCTAGAGCAGTTGGGGAGATCTGAAATGCAGTTTACTTGGCAAAGCTGTTCCTGCCTGGGTGTGATCTTTCTTCCCTAGTGCAATTCAATCTAGCAGTGAAGTCAATTTAAGTGCTCTCATGGGGGAGATCAGAAATAGAGATGCTTTCTACAGCAATGGAAGTGGGGTTTTTTTTGTGGTTGTAGTAACTAAACAGCTGAGGGTGCTGGGTTTTATTTTTGTTTCTACTCAGCTGCGTGAGCTCAATGTTGAAAACAATTGTAAAGACTGAGGCTCATTAAAAAAAATTTATTAAGAGGAACAGAACATAAAAACTCTAAAACAAGTGACAGCAAGTTGTTAGTGCACACAACACCGGGTTCTTAGGCTTGTTTATGATTGTACTGAATAATTCTTCCTCACTTGGTGGCAGTAAAAGCCCATCTAAAAATAGATGCCAAGAACTTCTACAAATCCCAGGAGGTGCTGCAGTGGAGTCTAGATTAGTTTTGAAAAATAGACTGCAGAAGTCAAGCAGCAGAAAGAGGGCTTGAATCAGGTGCAGTGGGATACTTATTTTTAGTCTAGGCTTTTAACCAGAAAAAATTTATTTGATACTGGTTGTTAATTTCTGCTATTAAAACAATCTGTGTTTGCTTCACACCAGAGGGATTTAGTTGGGGAGGAAGGCAGGAAAGCACACTGCAGTGACACTGACATTTTTTTACTCTCTTAAATATCTGATTTTTAAATAGTTCTATTCCTACTGGTGGATTGTAAAGAATGGAGGTGGTGTGTGTTTTTTTGTTTATCAAAGACAGCAAAGCTCAAAGGATTGCTGCCATTCTCCTAGCAGGGCATAATCTGCCAGAACTGTAGTATTCAGTATACTGGTGAGTTTTCCAGAAGGATTTTGCAATTAGTGGTCACTGTTTGGCCTCTCCATACAGTGAATGAGGCTGGTGTCTTGCAGTGGGGGATCCCCATATGCTTCTCAATACTGAGAATATTCAGATGATGATAGAGACCCCCTGAAAAGCAGTTCTTTTAAAAGCAGAATCTAACAAGTTCTGGTTTATGGGTGATTTTACAAAGTTAGATACTCTTTCAGTGGTAGGCAGGGGGAAGCACTTTATTTAGGTGCCCCATGGAGCCACCAGACCCAGGGAAAGGAGAAGAGCAGAAAGCTCCTTGAAGGACTTTGCTTATCAAAAGGAGGAGGAAGTGCTTCACAGGCAAATTTAGGCCAGATCCAGACTGTCACTGCCCAAACCAATCGTAGTGATGCTCTAATGTCCCCATGTATATTTCTGCTGGGTCCTCTCCTAGCCCTAGACAACTACCTCTGCCTAGGAGTTCTGCAAATACTGTAGTGACTCAGAATACTGGTGCATAGTCAATAAAGAGTGCCACTTATCTCCATTAATATTCTCAGCCAAAGAGGTTATGTGCAGTCTAATAAGAGGGAATGAGGCTGGCTAGCTAAGAAAAAACCTATTTGCCAGCTGGGGGGCAAGACAGAGCTACTGATGTTAGCAGCAACAGAAGCACAGCAAAGCTCACCTGCACACTAATGCCATTGTCCAGCTCATTATCTCCAACTCCTACTCTGCACTTGCTGCATCTTACAAGCTTGCAAAAAGTGAAAACAGCCATGAATTGGACAATGTTAGAGTGGATAGTTCTGTGGGTCTAATGTGACTCACGGGGTGGTTATTGCAAACACATGGCTCTTTACATAGAGCAAGTAGCTTATATGTAAAAGGTAGCCTCCTGTGAGGAAACAATGTATGTGCTGTAGTTACTCACAAAATAGTTTCCCAGAGAATAGGCAGCACCTTCTCATAGGAGAGATCTTAAACCATCTTTGCACTGCTTGAACAAATGCAAGCTAAACCATGCTGTCCACTCGCCTCTTTTCTAAAATCCACTCCGATCACAGAAGCCACATGCAGGGAGCAATCAGACACAGCTAGGAGCTGGAGAGAGTGGGGAGCAGATGAGTTCGCTGAATCCAGTGCAGTAGTTGCACTTCACTGGGCCCTGCTACAGGGCACACTAGCTTCATGGAGACAACTGCCAGGAAGTGCCGTCTGCATGATGCATTTCATTGCCTGCAAACACTGGCAGAACGGCACCCTGAGTCCTATCCAGTAGCATGCCTGGTGGGGTCAGTTATTTATAGCAGAGAGCTGGGAGTTATCAGCATCTCCCTCTTCAGGTCAAGATTAACATGTTATTTCACTAGACTCTAGAGCAGGTCATTGCTGCAGCACTGTACAGCTGTCCAAAGATTTTCATCACTATTTTTTGACCAAAAAATCAAACTTTTTTTGGCAAATTTTTTTGTTTTGAAGAAAAAAGTTTACAATTTTTAAGCAAAAATCTGAAAAAAATTAATGGGAAATTTAAGAAAAAGTTTCCAGGAAAAAATAATTGCCATGTTTTTGACTAGGTCTGGGTTGTAGCTTTTGTTTTTATGACTTCCTTGCCCTGCTGCTGCTACTAAAAATGCATCAGACTGACCTTACCAGAGTATCTATATTTTTAAAGTTGCAATTCTTTGTACAGCACTCACCTTTAAAGCAGCTCATTGAGGAAAAGTGACTTTCTCTGAGGCCTGAGACCATTGCTTCAGTGGCTGTGCCTGAATCTTGCATTCCTTTCCAACGCCACGCTCCCATTGGCAGGAGCAAGTTATAGGTGTGGATGGAATGCAGCATCACAACTCAACTCAGTTCAGCTGAACAGAACAAGGGGGTGGATTTTAATGAGCTAAGTGCTAAGTAATCCCCAACCTGCTTGCAGCTGGTGAGGGTTTGATTTACTGATTAAAATAACTGTTTATTTCACAATTAAAGTGGTGTTGGGAAATTCAGTGCAATTAACCCTGATAGTTGCAAATTTCATATTTATGACTATCTGCAGTTAAAAATCCCCTTTTGGCAATAATGTCTCTGAACTCTCCCAAACACTGCATTTAGAAGTGCATTACAAAAATAACCGATTCCAATAAACAGTGCTGGCAAAGGGCTTTTAACAAACCTATAGGTTTTAACTGTACAGCATTCTCCTTGGCTTTCTTTAGCTGAAAGAAAGATCTATCCCAAGAGAGTTTTAAAGAAATCAAAGCAGCATTGCAGTCTGAAAACGCTATCACCCACGTTAAGATAGTTAGAATAAGCTGCAATACATTGGGGTTTTTTTACTTACTCAGAATACTAGAAGCAGCAACAATGGAGAGCAAAAGCCTTTATCAAACATGTAAAGAGTCAGGGTTTCTCTGTACAACAGGTACGTTTGCAGGAGCTTACTCAAAACCAGACAGCTAAGCTCGTGTCTTTTGCAGGGCAGAGCAGGGGAAGCCTCTAGCAAGGAATGTATGTTACACAACATGGTAAAACTGACATATGTAACAAGGGAGAGACTACAAAAATGTTTGCCTTGAAAACCGAGATCTTTCTTGGGCATGTTTATAGATCTGTAATACACACAAAACGTACCCTGGGCCAAAATGTTTTCATAATTGAATTCTGAGTGGGAAAAGAAAAACGAAATGGAGCAGGGTAGCCCAGAAACCCTCAGTCATGTAATAATACCTAGCACTTGTATAGCGCCTTCCGAACATTAATCCTCACAGTGCCCTCTGCTGCTGGGTAAGTATTATCATCCCCATTTTACAGGTGGGGAAACCAAGACACAAGGTGGTCAAATGACTTGCCCAAGGCCACAGAGCGAGTAAGTGTCAAGAGCCACCATGATAACAGGAGTTCTTGATATCTAGGTGTGCTTGTGGACCAATACCAAACTCCTCTCTGGACATGTTAGAGAAAGTCTGTGTCAAACCCATGTCAGGATTAGCAACCGTTAGCTCGTAGGAATGGACAGGTCCCTAGGGCCTGATGTGGGACAGACAATGTTTTTGTCCCCCTGGGAGGAACTTGAAGTTTTACACCCCACCTGAAGCGATCACAGCGTGTAATTAACGAATACTACTACAATGGGGTGTTGGGCCGTGGTGCCTGGAATGTCGTGGCTGCACCAGAGCCAGCATTGGGGCTGCCAGGAAAGAGCCTTTTCTTCTGCTCCTTCCACTCCACATCTCAGCTCACCTTTACGAGAACACACAGACAATGAACACACATGCACATACTGTCCACGAGGAGGGAGTGTGGCACATGAACACTTGGCATGAGTCTCTGTACAGCTGCCCTGGCTGCTGGAGCCTGCGCTTTAGGATCTGCAGCATCCCGAGCCTCTGACTTCCTTCTTCACGTAGTCATGGAGCTTGAATTTGGGCTCATTGGGCAGCTTCATGGACCTGTGTTTCAGCTCCCTGCGGGAGAGACAGATGCGAGGTTATTGCTTTGCCTGTAAAAGGAACCCCCGGGGAGCAAATCACAGGCAGGAAAAGCCTTTACCAATGCCATCTTCGTCGCACTGCCTTGGCTCGTTCTCAAGCTAAGCTGGGCTGGGTTAGGTACTTAGGCTCTGGTTCAGGAAAGCACGTAACCACATGGTTAAAGTCCCACTGAAGTTATGTTTCAGACATCAAGTTAAACATGTTTAAGTGCTGTGTTAAATCAGAGTTATAGATGCAAGACAATGTAAGAGAGCCTTAGGATCAACTCATCTTGCTCCTTAGATACAACTGGTACCAAAAATTAATGGAATTCAGAGTCAACTTCAATGGTTTTCAAATGGCCATTTCTAAGAACTCCCCCCCCCCCCCACTTATACAAAAGGGAAACAAACCCCAGAGGCTGGTTTAAAGATGGGGGCTGTGATTCTGTCTTGGTGGCAGGGTGAAGCTGGCTGACCCACGCCGTATCGTGGCATGCTAAGATGCCGTGGCAATGGCAGGCTGTAGTTTTTGTTTCATTGTTTAACGTTCAGTGAACTCGTTTTGTGGCAGTGCGGAAAGGGAGCGGAGATCTGGGAGTGGTGCAGACTGCATTCCAACAGGAGAGGCAGCAGTAGGACAGTTAACTTACTTTGCAATGGCCGTAAAGGCCAAGTCGACATTCAAGCCGCTTTTCGCGCTGGTCTCCATGAAGGGCACTCCGTACTCCTGCAAGACAAGACCCGTCTCAGTACAAGACCCATCAGTGGCCCAGAACAGGCCACGGGTTCCTGCTGTCTGCCTGGTACAAGAGAGCCCAGCTCCAGACACAGTCTCTAACAAACCCATCCGACTCCGGCTGTGCAAAGTGACAGAGGCTTTGTAACCTGACCCTGCCAGAGAGGGTTCTTGAGGGGAACGCGGCATTTAGGGGAAACTCAGGGAGGACAGGAAGGTTTGCTGGGAAAAATACCAGGAGGAGGGTTATTCTGCAAAGCACTGAAAACAGCAGCGAGGTGGCAAAGCGAGGGCAGCGTGAGGGGTGAGAAGGAGCTGGCAAAGCACAAGGAGAGGCAGAGAGAGGGGGAAAGAAACACAAGAAATGAAAGTCAAGCAATCCCAGGCAGCACCGCGCAGGCTCCTTCCCACTACAGACTGGCCCCTGCACCACCCTTCAGCACTGGGGGCTCATTGTTTAGCTGATGTAGCCTCACAGCTTAACCCTAAATGCAACTTTCCCAAGCAAGTGCAAGCAGCAGCTAATTTATCTGGGCGAAGTCTTGGGCTGCGAGGAGACACGTACCTTGGCTAATTTCTCTCCATCTTCCCTTTTTACCACTCTGTCCTGGGTCGAATCCACCTAGCAGCGACAACGACAAAGAGCAATTTGCAATGGATCAGCAGAGCAATGTCAGGCAAAGCTATGGAGTGCAGGGTGACACAGACATGAATAGTACAGTCACTCAGCATCCCCGCCCCACGCCGCTTCACCAGTAAATCACATTTCACTTCCTTTACAAGAGAGCTGGGCCAAAGGAGGAGGCGTCTTTTCTCCCATACACGTGCTGGGGAGACCAGCTTGAGTTGCTGGAGCTGGGAAAGCACAAGGAGGGCTAAGGCTGCAATTTCCGTGCCATGATTTGTTGCTCTAAGAGGGCATATGGTCTAATGCTCAGAGCAAGAGAGAGAATTGGGACTCCTGGGTTCCATCCACGGCTCTGTCATTAACTTAACCTTGAACAAATCCTCTTAGCTACTCTGTGCCTCAATTTCCCATCTATAATGCGGAGAGACGATACTTCCCTGTGTCGCGGGGGGATGGGAGACAGCATTAACTTATGCCTGTTGAATGCTTTGAGATCCTTGAATGACGGCTCAATAGAAGGCAGAAAGGCTAGAATTATCGAGTTGGAGAACTAAGCAATGAATCAACGCACACTTGGCTTCAGCCCCAGAGGGAGATTAAAGCCGCACTTGTCCAAGGAGTCTCCTGCAATGAATGGATGGAGTGGCAGGGCTGCCCTAAACCGAGTCAACAGGGAAACAAGCACACATCTGATGTTCTCTCTCTACCCAGCAAAGATACAATCAATCCAGGTCAACCGCCGGGTCCCTACTCTCTCAATTCTTCCATTGACCAGGAGGTGGATTTACTACAGCGACAGAAACCCCCCTCTGTCACTGTAGTAAGAGCCTGCACTACAGTGGCGTACAGGGCCTTGCAGCCCACATTCTCCCCCAGTGGAAGCTAGCAAAATCTATTAGTGGATTGGGCCCAATGTCTGCAAAGTGCCTCAAGAGCCTTGGAGCGAAGAGGTGATAGATGCCCTAAGCATCACTAACGCTGTACAGTAGGTTCCGGGCATGCTGACATCAAGCAACAATGTAACAAAGTGAAGAAACGGGCGTTTCCCCCAAGAAGTATCTCACACCCCAATTCCGCAAACCGGCTGAGTCAGAGGAGCAGGGCTCTGCCAACACAAACCTCCCCAGACACAGGACCCCGCCCACCTCCATGTCGGTAACCGGGTGCCCTGCCCCAGGGTCACTCATGCAGCTGGTAATTTGGATACTCAGAAAGGGAGCCCAGATCACTTGTAAGGGTCAGGCCCATGGATCAGCAAATGCTGCAGCACAGTGAGGGCAGGGCACTGCCAGACAATTAGCCCAGTCTGCGTCCCCCCATAACCTAATTCTCCTGATTACATTTGCTAAGAGACCTTGCTGAGGGCCCGCCCAGCAGCACCGGAAGCCTCCTGGGGCGGTTCCCTAGCTTTGAGTGATGCCTGCTTCAGGGAGCATCAGGAACAAAGTGGATTTCCTGCCAACTCATGATGGAGGCATTCCTGGGCTCCCGAGAGCCCCCAACATTTCATGCCAATGTTAGGCTTTGAAACAACGTCTGCAGATGGCTAATGCCCACTACTGTGGAGCTCCCATAGGCGGGGGCGTTCTGTACCTGACTGGCAATGAGACAGGGTGACTGTCCGGAAACTAGCTTGGCTTTGTGGCCGGGCCCAACTCACCTTATTTCCCAGTAGCATGAGGACCACATCTTGCTGTGCGTATTCATGGATCTCGGTCAGCCATGCCTAGGAGGGAAACAGAACAGAGGCTGCACAACATGGGTAGAGACCATTCTGGACAGAGGAGCTCCGAGAGGGAGCAGGCCGCAGTGGGGCCAGTTCACAATCTACCCCCTTCCCAGGCCTGCCACCCGGGGGACACGCCCAGCCCTAGCGGTGGGAGACGTCTGATCCATTCACTTCTTAGACACCTGCTACCTGATTGATGTGTTTTGCTGTTCACATAACAGTGGCCTTTCCTCTGAGATCAAATACAGCATCCCTTTAACATCTTATCGGGGGACCTGCAGAGAGACGGACTCAGTCCCCTATAGCGCATGCATTTCCTATAGCCATGAGGAACGAGGCTACACAACCTGCTGGAAGCAGATTGGGTAGGTCTCAGCATCCCCCTCTGTGATGTAACACAGTCCTGTGGAGCTGAGCACCCCCTGGAGTGCAGGCTCTGATTTAAAGGGGCAGGACAGCTGGGGACTGATGAAATCATTGCAGGAAAAAGACAGATTCCTGGCTGCGAGGGCACGTATCAACAAGGGCGCGGCGTCGTTGCTCGGAGAGCAGCTCTTTGACTGCAGACACTAGGAACGCTAACAAGATAGACCCTGCTGGGCCCTGCCATTAAGGCTCAGCACTGCCGAGAGCAGGGACACACTCAGCACACTTACCCTGCGGGGCGGAGAGGCAGGGTTGAGGGGGAGGGTGTCTAGGAACAATTTCCATAGAAACGCAGGATTGGAAGGGACCTCGAGAGGTCATCTAGTCCAGTCCCCTGCACTCATGGCAGGACTAAGTATTATCTAGACCATCCCTGACAGGTGTTTGTCCAACCTGCTCTTAAAAATCCCCAATAAGGGAGATTCCACAACCTCCCTGGGCAATTTATTCCAGTGCTTAACCACCCTGACGAAGTTTTCCCTAATGTCCAAACTAAACCGCCCTTGTTGCAATTTAAGCCCATTGCTTCTTGTCCTATCCTCAGAGGTTAAGAAAAATGATTTCTCTCCCTCCTCCTTGTAACAACCTTTTATGTACTTGAAAACTGGTGGTATGTCCCCTCTCAGGCTTCTCTTCTCCAGACTAAACAAACCCAATTTTTTCAATCTTCCCTCATAGCTCATGTTTTCTAGACCTTTAATCATTTTTGTTGCTCTTCTCTGGACTTTCTCCAATTTGTCCACATCTTCCCTGAAATGTGGCGCCCAGAACTGGACACAATACTCCAGTTGAGGCCATATCAGTGTGGATGTAGAGCGGAAGAATTACTTCTCGTGTCTTGCTTACAACACTCCTGCTAATACATCCCAGAATGATGTTTGCTTTTTTTGCAACACCGTTACACTGTTGACTCATATTTAGCTTGTGATCCACTATGACCCCCAGATCCCTTTCACAGTACTCCTTCCTAGGCAGTCATTTCCCATTTTGTACGTGTGCAACTGATTGTTCCTTCCTACGTGGAGTACTTTGCATTTGTCCTTACTGAATTTCATCCTGTTTACTTCAGACCATTTCTCCAGATCATTTAGAATTTTAATCCTATCCTCCAAAGCACTTGCAATCCCTTCCAGCTTGGTATCATCTGCAAACTTTATAAATGTACTCTCCATGGCATTATCTAAATCACTGATGAAGACACTGAACAGAACCAGACCCAGAACTGATCCCTGTGGGACCCCACTCGATATGCCCTTCCAGCTTGACTGTGAACCACTGATAACTACTCTCTGGGAACGGTTTTCCAACCTGTTATAATAGCTCCATCTAGTTGCATTTCCCAGCAATAACCCATGGAGGAGGCAGCTTTGAGGTTGGTTTGTTTAAGAAGTGAAATGAGTGATTGGAGCAGGATTCCCAATGTCTTCGCACCTAAAGGATTTGCAGGGGGAAATGGCAGAGCTCATCCAACCCTCCTGCGATGCAGCCAGCGTCCCGTTGCAGGTAACGGCCCTCGGGAGAGGGCTTGCAAAGAGCAGCTGCCTCTTCCTGCCTCCTCTCTCTTAGGGATATGGAGAGCAGCCTTCACCCTCCTCCCCAGGAGCCTCTCCTCCTCTGCATGCCGACTAGATAAGGCAACAGCAGCAGGGGGCGCAGGGGCGGGAAGTAGGGGGCTGCTGCACCCCCTGGTGTGAAGTACAGTGGAGTCGCATCATAGGCGCATTTAACTTGTGATTTTAACTATACGCGCTCGGCAAAACAAAACAAAAAAGAGAAAAATAACAATTTAAACACTGTACCTGTAGTGCGGGCGATTCCGCCCGCCATTCCACTCAATGAGCGTTTGACTATACGCGATTTTCGCCTTACGTGCTGACTTTAGAACCTAACCCCCGCGTAAGATGCGACTCCCCTGTAGTACTAACAGCCCAAATACGTGGTTTCCGCCTTCAGCACCCGCACTGTAAAAATTGTTCCAGCACCTCTGGGAGTGGGTCACATACAGGGCACCTTCCATCCCAGGCCCCTCAAGTGCCGTGCCTGCCTGTGCCAGTGTTACCTACGTGTCCGACAGTAGCCGAGTACAGACACTTGCTAGCTAAGTACTTCTGTCGCCCTCATCACTGTCCTGTCTGACTTGCCCAAGATCTCACACACAGGCAGCATCACAGCCAGGAACAGAACCCAGGAGTCCTGACTCACAAGCCCTTGTGCTGACCATTGGGCAACTGTGCCTTCAGACAGCTGGCCCTGGCAGGCCAGGACTCATACCTCTCTGCATGTCATGGTCCCTCTCAGCTCTGTACCAGGCTAGTCTCTCTATGACCTTTGCTCCAAACTCGGTTAAGGAGAGGGCAGAGCAGCTGGGCTACGCTGATTCCCAGAGTGGGGCACTTCACTGATGTATTAACAGAACCTACTAAAGATTAGTGAGTGCAGTCTCTGGCAGGTTGTTCCTGCTCTGGGTGCAGCCCTAACGCCAAGACGACTGCTTCTCTGAGCCTGCCTCTGATGCAGTCTAACAACAGTCACTCACAACAGTGGCCCCTTAGCCACTTAATAAGAATTGCCCCTTTTAAAAACTAAATTTCTACCTTGATGGCCATTTGAGTCACATGCTTATTCCCCTGCTGTTCTTCCTGCGCTTTTTTTTTTTTTTAAAAGGCTGAAATTAATGTCTTGCGTCCATGAATTCAGCTTTGTTAGGGAAAAATGTCACCATCCAAATCAAAAAGAAAAAAACCCTCAAGGCCTCTAATTTTCTTGCAGACCTTAATTTCAGAGCTTGTTTGAAGTGTCTCTCTCCCAGACCACGCTTCAATAAGTGATTCCTCCCAGCGTGTGCCCATCACTCTCCAATATGGCCCAGAGACCGCGGGAACATCAACACGTTATTATTAGCCCAGCACTGCCTGATGCAGCTGTTTCGGAAATGCATTTGCTCCACTGTTGTTTAAAATCCCTAAAGCTCTTAATAGCCTGTCCCAGAGGCCCTCGCTGGGTAAATTCGATAACCAGGGTTTATCTCACTTCACTCTGAAGGGCGGGGCTGGAATTAGAGTCATTCTCCCTCCGAGAAGGGGCCTATAATCAGATTTTTTGTTTTCCTTGAGGAGTTGGCGTTTTTGACCATCTTGACTTCTTATCAGTGCTGCCTCGCCTTGCTTTCCAGGTCCGAGTCAAGCCTCTGGAGGGGAGCTCCGGATGGTTCTCCGATGGCATGAAAGGCCAATGGTGCACTAGGAAATATGGGGAGAAATAAACAACAAGGGTCTTGTCCTGACGGGTGCTGGAGCTATAACCCCCTTAGCTGACCATGAGCAGAACTGATTAATGGGAGCTGGTTGTTCTGGTTTCATGGCTGACATTCAGATTTAAAAAGAAAAATAAATAAATCCCGAAAATGCTTCAGTTTCTAGGAGTTGTTAAAGAAATGTAAACAAGAACGTAAGTGTTAGTCCCTAGCCCAACGCACCAGTATTCAAGGGACACCTGACTCGCGTTACAGTCACAAATCAATAACGGGCTGGACAGCAGGAGCCTACTCAGCCATGGCGCTCAGTGAGAGTACTCGGGTGAGTGAAGTGTGCAGGATCAAGACCAAGGTGAGAAACCAATATTGAAATGGGATGTTGGTCCAAAACGATCAGATTTTTCTCTAAAAGCGGTAAGTCAGGGAAGGCTATGTGTGGGTCAGACATGCCACACTCCAGCACTGCCTTCACTGGCCTCAGCAGACAGTGGTTGTCTTGGTGGATTCAGCCTGGGATTCTAATTCTTCCTATTGGCATGGAGGCTGGCAGCCAGCACCGCGCAGCACTGTTGAGAATTCAGTCTGATCTCGGAGGGCGAGCCCACGTTGTCAAACAGGATGGGGAGCGGCTCTCTGTCTGCTCGGCATAATTGTCCAGATCAGCCATACAACTTGCATCTTCCATGGTAATAGGCTGGGAGCCTCTCTTTCTAATGCTGTGTGGCATGATGCACTCCGTCCCCTCTAACAATGCCTGTTTCAGGGCCCCCAAAACAATTTATATGATAAACAGACCGGTAGACCCTCCTCCCTGTGTCATTAGTCTGTGAAGTCTGATTCCATTTTTTAGGTTAAACAGACAAGTCAGGGGATTTGGTGCAAGGAACACAACATGCCAACTTCCCCACATGCGCTAAAGACAACACTCTCGTCATTTACTGATTGACTTGAGCAGTGCAAGCAGATGCGATCCTGCCCTTCCCAAGCGCACGCGCCTTCTCAATGCTCTGCGCATGGGCTGCAAAGCCGAGCCACTGTGCTGGTGCGTTCGGAGGTGCTCCCTTCACAAAGCAGCGGAGAGCCTAGCCTCCCCACGCTACTGCTGCTGTCCTCTTTGGGGTTACTGGTCCAGCAGCAGCACACGTTTCCCAGCAGGTGGTGTGGAATAGTCAATAGGGCGTTCCAAGGTTGCTTAATCCAGGCCAAGAGCTAGGGAGATGCTGTAGGGTGATCCTAGGGTGTGTCCATCAGTCTTGGAGCCAGAGTCAACCACAGGGTCTGTCTGTATCCAGCAGCCTCAACTACTCTGTCTGTCCAT